ACAGTTGAACAAAGCGAATGACGAAGCATGGCTACGTTTAGCACTTCTTTACTACACGAATGGGGCGGTAAGTTAGATGTGATTATTGCGAGCTATCACGTACTGTTTTCAATTTAGATGGACTTAGCGCACATGGCCATCGAAGAAGCGCTCAAGCATAACCCACTGTTGGCTGAGGCATGGTGCGCTTACGCTATGAAGGCTGATGCAGAGGGAATAAGTCACGAAGCAATTGATATGTTCCGTCACTCCGTGTCCGTCAAACCGACAGTAAGTTCAAACAATTAACCAAAAAAGTATAGGGAGACTCTTTCTCTTGTCCCAGATCCCCGCAGTTATGAAGTATACCGCAATGCTGAGTAAGACACTACGAACGAAGACTTTTGACTCGGCTACGGTGATGATAGATTTTCCAAAAGTGCTCAGACTCAAAGGCAAGGTTTTGCTACTTGATTTCATGCTTATTTTCCTGTGAATTCTTAGCACTTCAACGTTTCTGGACGTTTCTCAAATTTGTATAACTCACTTTATAGTATACTTTTTTCTGAATGTAACTACATGCGATGAAGACCGTCCTCTGTAGTTGCATACATTCTGACCAGTTCTGTTTCAGACGATCAAGACTGTATTAGCAGAGATCAACTTCTTCATATTGCCATTCTTGCTGAGCTATTTGGTTATTACGAAGATGCAGCCAATTCTCTCAAAGAAAGTGGAGAGAAAGGAATTCATTTGCAGAGGGCTCAGCTGTAAGTAGCTAGTAATCAGACCAGTCCTGAGACTGTTTTTCATTCTGTCATCTTTTTGGCCAACTGAACATGGAGTGGTTTTAGAAAAGCTGGCGAGAAAGTTTCTAATCCTGACAAGTCTCTACAACATCTGGCAAAGCTATGTGCGATGAATACAGAAGATCTGTTCAACCTTCTGAAGGAAAAGCAGCCACTATACAGAGACCTATTCGATCGACTTGCTGCTCCAGAAGCAAACGGCTTACAGGAGCTTTACCGTGCCTATTCTAAGTCCATTTCTGTGCCCTTGGTGGTAGCGGCCGTGATTCGTTTTGGATTGGTGAGTATCTGAATAACTGATTCGTATGAAAGTTATTTCACGTAATTCTAGCCTCTATGTGATCAAGCTGTCAATGTGCTCCATGAAGTTTTACCTCGTCATGAACTTATTGATGTATTCCCAACAGTCATGCCAGAAGACATGGATAACGGGCTTATCTATGTCGAACAAGATGGTGAAGAGCCTTTTCGGTACAGTCACTATGTTGCGAAGGTGAATTTGAAGTTTTCGAAAATATTTCCGCCGAGTGAATTTGCTATATGTGTTTCCAGCCTCTTCACGAGATTTTGAAGAAACGACGTGAGGAAATAGAAGCTCAACAAAATGAAACGACTGCAACTTCTGAGTCATAAAGCTTTACTGCCAGTATATGCGGGTGCTTCTAGTCCCATTTTGGTGCATAAAGATTATCTGCAGTTTCTTCTGTTGTTTTTTT